TGTGTGTGTGTGTGTGTGTGTGTGTGTGTGTGTGTGTGTGTACGCTGCATCTTGTCCGCAACTTTCAACTCGGGAACTACAAAAGTTAGGAAGCTAAAAATTTAGGGTGATGTCCCCTGCCCATACACAATCCCGCAAATTTAAATTCAGCCTTCCCCGCACACCCGTATGTCACTTACGACCCCGTGGAAAGTCTTGGTAAGGAAAATTATTGTCTCGGAAACCACAAAAGCTAGAAAGCTGAAAATTTCAGAATGAAATTTCCTGCCTAAGCAGGACGTAATCTCGCTCCAGTCCCTAAGCACACCGAGGGCCACGTATGGCCACGTGAAAGTTTTGTCGCAGGGATCACTTGAAAGTCAAAAAATTAGGAGGTTGAAATTTTGGAAAGATATTCATCCTTTGAGGTTTTTTTGGTGGGAAATCCCGAAGCTTTTCCAGTTACTTTGACTAGTGCTGCGTTGCATAGTTGAAAATAGTTAAAATTTTGTCATTTCGACTACTTTTGCGCAGGCCAAAGTGCAAAGCAGTGAAAATTCTTAGCAGGCAGGCAAACGTTCGCTGGACGAAACTGCACAAAACGCATAATCGCACTGGCTGCGCTGATGCGCGTCGCCTTTTATCTTGTAATTGTTACATGGAACAGCTTTTAATTCATGGTCCAGATACTCCGTCTAAGCAGCTTACTTTTCCGGTTGCTTTGGTGAATGCTGCATCGCATGATGGTCATTCCGCTGGTGATTCTGATGTCCAATTTCTTCTCAGGACGTTCTTCTGCTAAAAGCAGCTGTTAGAGCTTTGGGCATTTTGGAATGCCCTAACTTTATATTGAGATTGTTACCTCATTCGTAGCGTCGCCATTCCTGGGCTGTGATAATCCTTACTAACTACGATCAGTTTTCGACGTTTACATAAAAAGCAGTATCTCAGTTATTTGTGAAAGGTGATTTGCGCCACAAAACTGCGGGTGCTGCTGCTTCCCAAAAAGGGTAAGATGTAAAAAAGCATGATTTATGTGAGAAATCATTGTTCGGCTACACTGGGGAAATGATGAATGTTTCAAATTGTGATGCCAGGATTCGTACTCTGCAACTTAT